CTCCAAGCGGCCAAGGTTGAGAAACACTGCACTAGAGCGTAAGGGGGGTGGGGGTCCAGCACAATCAGACTTGCAAGAGTCTGGAATTAGGGCCAGTAGCAATCCACGGAGTTTTAGTCTTCCTGCGGGGTTGATGTCTGCTCTGGTCCACCTCGCAGGGCCGGCCCCGTTCTGCTTTAGACGCCACCTGCTCACCCCGTTCTCCTTCCTGCTCCTCTGTTTCGCAGTCAAATGGATCGGCGTGGGGAAATCCCGCAAATCGATCATCAAGGTCTTCTGAGGCTGAGGCCCCGGGCGGATCTGCAGCCCCAGACGGAAGCCGGCGGGGGGCTCTTCCTTCTCTCAGTTCAAGAGCCGAGGACCACAGAAACCGGCCCCCTTGAACACGCTCAGGCCAGCCCCCGACCCCCGGCTTTATTTAGACGAGAACCACAGCAACCCTTCACAGCGTTCCCCCCACCCCTCGTGTAAAATTTCCTTTTTGCCCTTCATTCCGTACTGCTGATGTTTGGGAAGAGAACTAGGACCAGCTGGCTGGGAGCAGAGATTTGCAGGCCTTTCCAAGATGGTGAAGGGCATACACTCCACTTCTGCGCCCCTGACCCAATTTTTGGTTCCCCCGTCCCCAAAACGGCTGCCATCCATCCCACCCACCATCTGACCAGCATTCATGGTTCACGGGCTCTCCCAATGGTGCTAACCCTTTTGACCAGTTGTCATCCATGTCAGTCAGCCTGACACCTTCCTGGGTGTGACAGTCCCCATCGCCTCCAGCCAGAAGGAGGGAGTGGATCCTGGGAATTGTAGTCCGATGAGGCAAAAGCACTTTTCCCAGAGATGGCAGCCTTCCAGGGGTTGTCAACTACCACTCTAGGGTGGGCTCAGTGAGGGATGCTGGGAGTTGTAGTCCAGAAGCATCCCCGGAGGCTCCTGATTCCCCACCTCTGGCAGGAAGAGGACACTTTTGTCCACGATGGGTGTGACATGCAGTTGCGGTTGAAAATGGCTCAGTTTTTAGGGAAATCATTCCAACGGCAGAGCATTTCACACCCATGCCCTTCTCTCTCCCATCCTGGCCCGGATCGGGAGGGTTGGCGTCGTTGATCGTTAAGCACAACCTCTAAATTGAGTCGCCTCCTAACCAGGGTTTGAAACAAGGCAGCGTTGCTGCAACCAGTATTCAAGCAGGCTTGTTTCAAATGCTGCCACGCATTGAGAGCCAGCAGAAACAGGCTAATGCTTTTGCACTCGTGCCCTGGCAGAGAAACGTGGGAACGTAGATGCTGTAGGTTGTATCAGTTCCTACCTAGTTTGTCGCGGTCTCTGAATGCAGGTGTTTGGTGCTGTTGCGGGTTTATAACCCCAATTTTTAGCTTTCTGCCTTTAAAAAACAGCATGCTTTCTACAGCTGGACCTAATTGTCCAGATTAAACCCTGCTCCTTCCCATTCCTCGAGGGGGATCTCTGGATTGCAGAAGCACTACCAGTCAACGGTTTGGTATCTTTTCCCTTTTGGAACCTTAATCAGGACTAGCCTCTTGAATTTCCACTGGTTAACAGGGGAAGCAGCAATTTAGCACCGCAGCAAACCGGGTCCTAAAGCTTTCTAGAGTTCTGCTTGCACGCCCCTTATCTCGCTGTCCAAACACGTGACACTTTTGTGGTTTCTTACTTGGTTTAGAAGGAAATTTCTCTTGTTCTCATGTTGTTGTTTTTTCCAGGCATTGCCAAATCTGCCACAAAGAGTAATAAAGAACAATGATTTATTTTATAAACGGGTTGGTAGAGTGAAAGGAACAATTTGCTGTTTTTTGGTTTTGAATTCCATTGTCCTCTAGTCCAGGGTTCCTCAACCTCAGCAGCTTTAAGAGGGGTGGACTTCAACTCCCAGAATTCCATGCTGGCTGGGGAATTCTGGGAGTTGAAGTCCACC